AATTTATTTCAATGCATCGTTTCTGATTCATTTTTTTTCCATAAAATTCCAAATTTACCATTTTCTAGTCCTCTTTAAAAGTGTAATCCTTTTATTTCTTTACCCAAAGGAGACGGTTTAGCTCGTATCTTTACGGTAAGCTGAGGCGTTTTGGAATGTTTGTTGGAGTTTTCTTGAAGTCTTCTCCTTACTATTCGTGCAGAGATTTGAACTCTTTCTTACAACATTTTAGTGTCGTCTGTAGCCGCAGACTTCAGTTTTCTACAAACTTGACCTTTCATTTAGGACGTAATTTGTTTTCCTGTACTGCTGAACATGTAAAGCGTCTGTTGATCTTGGCATCGATGTATATAGATGTAAGGCAATTATTCTTGTAGTCTTGCCTGTCAGTCATTGTTCTGAGAACCTAGCATTGCCTGATGGTTAAGGCGCTCGACTCGCAATCTGAGGGTCATGGATTCGAACTCCCGTCGCCAAACATGTTCGCCCTTTCAGCCATGGGGATTTTATAATGTGACGATCAATCCAACTATTCTTTGGTAAAAGAGTATCCCAATAGTTGGGGGTGGGGTGTCGTCTTTCCTCTAGACTATCATTGCTAAATTAGGGACGGCGCAGATAGTCCTCGTGTAGTTTTGCGCAAAATTCGAAACAAACCAAGCATTGTTCGAATGAAACAATTTCACAGTGCAAACAAGCCTTATCAAGGTATATTATCAATTATACCAGTTGTTCTAGAAACACACAATTTGTGAATAAAACTTGAGAAACATCAATGAAATTCTCGAAACATTAGTTGTAAGGAAATACCAGTAAAATGTGGAGTGACCGATATATTTTAGCTATTACTGTACATAGCGACCTCTGTAAACGAAACTACATTTCAGAACGAGTTTTATTATAAAATAACTTCTACTATAAGTTAGTCGTGGACTGTCCGAAAACAGTCTTTTATTTTGTAACAAATACCAATAAAATTTTATAATTTTTTTTGCCCCCCCCCAATGGCACAGCGGTACGTCTGCGGACTTACACCGCTAGAAACCGGGTTTCGATACCCGTGGTGGGCAGAGCACAGATAGCCCTTTGTGTAGCTTTGTGATTAACTATAAACAAACAAACCTTATGAAACCTCATTCGTTTATTGAGATATTAATAAGAAATGGGAACGATCAGAATTTCTTGTTTCCTGTATACAGATTCTAGCATGTCTTTTCCCTGGTGGTCAGAATGCTCTACTCGCAATCTGCTAGTCGCGAGATTTAAACCTTTCACCGAATATGCTCGTCCTTCTCAGTCGTGTGGCGTTATAATCTGACCTTCAGTACTACTAGTCGTTGGTAAAATGTAGCCCAAGAGTTGGCGGTGCATGGTGTTGATTAACTGTCTTCCTCTTAGTCTGTCAGTAAAGTAGCTTCGCACAAAATCCAGCAAAACAATACTGTGCCTCGGTGACTCAGCGGTAAGTTCGATGGGTTATAACTTTAAAATTCGGAGCTCGATACCTGCGTGGGTATAAACACAAAGAAACAAACTATCGCACGAATCTAAATCTTTGTAACTGAAATAAATTCATATATATATATATATATATATCATATGTTTTGCTACTAAGTTTTAAAACTTAACCACATTTTATTTTTAAGTTATTTCGCTGGTGAGCTTCCTCGTATTCAAAAGCTACCCCTTCTCTTTAACGCGAGGATTAATCGTAGTCAGTATTTACTAGTTACAAAAATTAGAAACC